ACACTTTCACGTAGCTTTCCTTAAAATTTCGCAGACAATAACTTCCTCGAAGGAGCTTCCCACAGAACATCGAAGGAACTTCGGCCATCAGCTTCATTGTCTGTCGCTTCGTAATTAGCGTTAATTAGACACTGTAGATACAGTACCGTTCAAAAATTTCAGATTACATATAATATAAATATAGTGCTTCTTTCGACTGAAAATTGTTATTTGTTAAATATTAATGAAGAATTCAAGGTGAATTTAATTTCCCACCTAACATAAAAAATGAGTCCAATTTCTTAAAGAGTTTCTATAAAAATTCGTGACTTTTGAGCGGTATTGTACGTACACGTGATGCAGACAAGGTGAAAACCTAACGCAGAAATAGCGAAAGGTCGTTGCGTGAAGTTCAGAGCCTTCAGTGAAAGACACCATTGTTCCTCCCATAGGTACTCATTAGAATTAATTAGGATGATGCGTGTCTTCGATTATACGACATGCTTCTGGTTTCCGTTCGCGCGAAGTTTCATTTTTATCTTCTAGTTTTACTTTCCCGCGTGTTATAATGTATACAGTGGACATGCGATAATTAGCCGTTTTTTGGGACTCCGGAGGTGAGCAGCTCAGAAAACGGGTAAATATTGCGAGCCGATAATATCTGATATTCCTAGCCAAGGTTTTGACCAAGATTTCGAGAAAAAAATAATTGCAGCCATTAAAAAATGTTCAATAATTCAATAGAATACACAACTAAAATGATTTCTCGCACTGAAATATCTTCAGTGATCTTAACACGCTAAAATTTTCAACTTTCGTGTATCAACACGTAAAGCAGTGGTTCGCCTGAATTATTTTCCTTTCAGCATCGACTTTCCATTTTCTTTGCGCATTCCTCGACACGCTTCGTACACTTTATTAGTGCACACTGATAATGGCGTTACTTTCAACCATATTTCGTATTTCAACTGATGCACGAGCATGTTTAACAGGCTATATAATTGGACTTGATTACAGGCACGCAGCCAGGAAACGACAGAAAAAGCAGTTGGCAATTAATTTTCTTGGCCCAAAAAAATTTTCACTTGTTTTATAAGAAATGCCTCCGTGATACGTCTAATCATCTCTCATAAAATACGTCTATTCAGTGAAATTTACAAAATTTCATAGGTTTAATACTGGAGGATAATTTAAAGAATTTCCTTGATCATATTAGATTACATCATTATAGTATAATTAAATAAAATGCTAGTGTTATTTATTAGCATTATTATAACATTTCTAACAATAATGTTAAGAATGTTCAAGAAACCTTGCATGTCCACACGTTTTTCTCGTGTCGATATGTCTCTTTTGCTCTCGCTGCCGTTCTATCTGACTTTCCTTCTTATGTAACCGCGTAACTGCAGCGCAAGGATGCGGTTAGACCTTTCGAAGCGTGTCTCTGGACGGTGCCGATGTCACGTAAGGCGCACATTACTCAGTCACGATCTTAATTTCACTTTGTCACCTTAACCAACACGGCATTGGCTGTTCAATTGTGACAGATTCGGTACTGAATCAAGCTTCCTTTCTCTAACCCTTTTGTTCAGATACATGTACTGAAAGAAGGATCCATGGAATAAAGTTGCTAAGTGTCTGAATTAAAAAAAAAAAAAGCGGTAACCCATCCCGGTATATCCGCGCTCAACTTAGCTTAACCTCGAACGCAATATTCAAAGATTTGTATAGTTGAAATCTACGATATTAAATAGAGGATAAATTCATGGAATAAAATTCCTAAGTGTCTGAGTAAAAAAAAAAAAAAAAAAAAAAAAGCGGTAACCCATCCCGGTATATCCGCGCTCGACTTAGCTTAACCTCGAACGCAATATTCAAAGATTTGTATAGTTGAAATCTACGATATTAAATAGAAAATAAATTGATGGAATAAAATTACTAAGTGTCTGAATAAAAAAAAAAAAAAAAGCGGTAACCCATCCCGGTATATCCGCGCTCGACTTAGCTTAACCTCGAACGCAATATTCAAAGATTCGTATAGATGAAATCTACGATATTAAATAGAAAATAAATTGATGGAATAAAATTACTAAGTGTCTGAATAAAAAAAAAAAAAAGCGGTAACCCATCCCGGTATATCCGCGCTCGACTTAGCTTAACCTCGAACGCAATATTCAAAGATTTGTATAGTTGAAATCTACGATATTAAATAGAGAATAAATTGATGGAATAAAATTACTAAGTGTCTGAATAAAAAAATAAAAAAAAGCGGTAACCCATCCCGCCATATCCGCGCTCAACTTAGCTTAACCTCGATAATCAAACGAAAACTGAATCATCTTTACATGGGCTCAGCATCTCAGTGATTGTTTCGTTGAAAAAGAAAGAAAGCAACTGTGATTAAGTTGGAATGAATTCATGCCCAATCATTCGTTCAGAAATTTCTCACGAGAAGATTTCATCGAAATCTTTCGTGTCACGAATCGTTACGTAATTATGCATTATGCGTCGATATTAATCGAAAGGTCGTCGAAATTACGAACTTCGGGTTAGGAGTCTAGAAAGTCGTGGAATTGTTCAATCACGCTATAAATAACCAGCTGTTTACAAAGAGTTTTGCATAACGGCGACTCGAATGAAATAATTAACTTTCCTTTTCGCGACTCTTTCCTAGTCATAAACACAATAGAAAATTATTTGTCCAATTAATCGAACGAAATCAAATGAAATTAATTACTGTATACAAGATTTTAAATAAAGAGAGAAGGCAACATCACCAACCGAATATGAGGGCCAGGGTTCGAATCCCGGCGGGGTCAAAACATTTTTTATTTATATTTTAATTTCTATAATATACATAATTCCTCCATCAATCATCAAGTGAACAAAAGGAATTTCTCATTTCACTTTTGGTCGCGATCAAGATTTTCACCGAGCCGATTCGTTTCCCCCGATTTTAATTGAAACACGGAAACCGACCGCGTATCTTTTCGATCGTTTGAAAAATATTCTTCCGCGTGTTTCACGCTTCTGCTTCAGGGGCCACGCAACCTCGTTCGCCTCGTCTCGAGCGGAACTTTCTTCTCGCGTTGCTCGTGACAGCCGGCTAAAGCGAGCAACGGTGCTCCTCTCCTTTCCATCGTCCGACGATGCGGCTTGCATCGTAAACGCAATTCGATGATGATTCATTTGCAACACCATTCGCGAATCTGCTTACCCATTTACAGTTGACGACAGTTTGTTTCGGCGCAGTTTAGTCTGAGGCGATTATGAAAGCTTAATGAGTCGAATACCGTGGCGGTCATTGATGTCTAATCTCTTAAATATATTGATCTAATTAGTTCAAGAAGATCAGCTTCAAATCATCATTTATCAGTTTCATATTATTATTCCAGTTGATGTCTAACTCAAAGTGTTGAGCCTAACTCACAAACACTGATCCAATTAAATCAGTCTCAATTACAGTAATTTAACCCCTGAAGGAAGCCAATTTGCAGTGACTGATTGACAGCCACACCTCGGCCAGAACGAGGCTACAAATTGTAATAAGAAGAAAGTGCAGGAACGACCTTAAAAGAGGTCGTGCAGATGCCAATAAAAGGCGAACGAACAGACGAGACCTCCGTAGACGAGGAATGACTCACTGATCGTTGCATTCGTATTACGACTTTGCAAGGGCGTTTTTAGATGCGTTCGTAGGATGCCTTCAGAGAATCTCATATTTCTAGCATCGTCTTCCAGCTTTTTACTAAATAAGGATTTTACTATCTTGTATTCTTCCGCTTCTCAATCGTTCAACGTAAGGGTGGGCCAGACTTATCTTTATTTATAAAGATTCTTTGTCGAAGGAATTTGATAGTGTTCAATAATATAAATAAATTTATTCAAATTTATTCAAATCCTTTAATCTTGTAATTTATGTTCTCCCCAACATTCACATAGAAGATTTAAAAAAAAAAAAGTTGTTTATTGTTAGTTGTCATCTCTAAATATGCAAATATGAATTTAAAAAGAAGTCACAGGAAATGAAACAAAAATAAAGGGGATTGTTTAAAATAACTGGCAAATAAAATAATCTGTGCAAAGAATGAAATTTGTATGCATCATCGTTGTTGGTCTTGAGGACCACCGATCGGGATTATAGCGCGAAATCCAGCTAGGTACAAGTGCCGTTCGCGTATATTTACGTTCACGTGGGAGCTAAATGGATGTTGCATCGAGGAGAATCGGTGAATGGAATGCAGTCTCGTGGGACATCCGTCCGTGAAACGTATGCATCGCGGTCGAACCACGTGGGACGTTCGTATAGCCACTTGTTTGCAATTTTATTTTATCCTGAATCTTTAACCCTTTTGTCTCCGATCGATTTATGGTTCTTTTTGATTTTATTATTATTTTCTTTCAGGTATTTATATACCGAAGATTTCGGTGTTTTACCTCATTAGATATTTAAATATTAATTCAGGTGAATTATTATTCAAATGCAACGCTAATACAACTAATATTTTGGATTGTTAAAAAGAAAATTAAATAAATATCAGTATTATGAAATTAGTCTTTGATTCATCACGATCGATATCCTCCCCGCGAGTCAGCTATTAAATCAGTGCTATAGAAGGATGCAATTGCAGCCCGTTGCATGCACTCTGCACTTCTTCCGTGCATTGTTTCGTTCCCTCTGCCTTTCGAGGACCTTGTATGCAATGACCGAAGTTGAGTTAGGTCAACCCCGAGCGGAGAGTGCAAATTCCTTCTCGGTGCATTGTTCTTACGATGCACCATATTGCATTCCTTTATTTCAACCGTGACAAGGGCATATGCGTGCAACTAGCGTGAGCTTTGAACCGTGAAAGGGTTGAAAATTGAGCCAAGTTAAAAAATAAAATTTTCACTGATGCTGAGAACTATTTTCTATGGGATATATACCTAACTATCTCGATTACCGTAAGATATTTTTAAATTTCCCATTTGTAGAAGCAGGTGTGAGTATTAAGTAACTAAATATGTAAAAAGAAACTCACCGTGTAGCAAAAATCCATGCAGCGCGAGGTTCATGGCTACGATCAGTTCCTTCAGCCTGAAAAATAAAAACAATATTACTTTATTAATGTTCACTAAATAATTTTGAATACAAATTAAAGTAAGAAGACTAAGAAAGTCAAATTGATTCAAAATGGCACTTTTTTAAATGTAAATTGTTTTCCTTCTTTTTTCCCAGAGTATTGCAAAAATGAGAAAGGTGCAAGTTGCTGGCAGTTTCAAATCGTCCTAACTCTCGGATGATCGATAAAATCCGAACATGTGCACGCAGTACTCGAAGGTCCTTGTCGAGGAACAATGGCCGCGTTGCAGCGGAAACAATTCAGGTCGAGCACGTATAACGCGCGTAACGGTGCTCTCTTGCGGGGCACAAAACGGCAAACGCAACAGCCTGAAATTATTAAGCTACTGCATAGCTTCTGTCCACTAAGGTAATAAGTCATTAACAATTATTTTATTAAACAATCAAAATGATTTTCTCGGACGTCTAAATCCTCGTTAAGTCCTCCACTCTAAAATAACTGTTACATAGGCAACGAGTATCCTTATTTTCATATTTTCTTTTGTTATAAAAGCAATAGGCATCACTTTATGTTTTTTATAAAAAGAAATGTAAGAGGCTGCAAGATAGGACCGCATAATTATAGGGTCAATGAAGAAAAATATAATGATTCAGAGCTGGTAATAATAGTGACGTAGCTAGCGAACCACCCGGTGGCCCATCACGAAGACGGCTCTCTTCGGGAACATCGAGGTGAATACAAAATCGGGGAACACGGCCGTCGTTCACGTGCGTGCAATCGGTAATGAACCGTGCTCTCTCGTCTTTTGTATCGTAAACTATGAGCTGTCGCCGCGAATTTCGCGTCTGTTTCACAGAGAAATGGAAAAATTTTACTTCGGCATAAAACAGACATGTATGAACGTCATCGTTCGGCGGACCATGGAGAGAGCCCATCAAGAATTTGTTGACTTTCAAAAATTTAATATCTAATGAATATTTCTACAATTTGTTTGCAATCTAGATACCCGTATGTATCCTTTTTTTAATAAATAAATTATGTGAAAAATGTGCATAAGAAAGTGGCACCACCCGTTCCCTTGTTTATTTTCTCCTGTTCGCATCCGATATGCGGGTCTCTTTCGTTTTAAAGACGATTTTCACCTTACGTAAAACCGGCACATCGGCCGTGACTCGTTTCCATGGCGAACGACTTTCCCCGATTCTGTATCGCGAACGTTACAAGCTTTAAAAAAACGATCGATGCCACGCCTTTGACCACCTGGCTGAAAATTACTTGATGACTTCAACGACCAGACAGTCTTAATCCTTTAGGATCATTTTGCAAAACAGGAAATTTATTTGTTGCGTGTCTGTTGGGGAATTTCGAAACATTTTTCAACGATGAATCAGCCATTTTCTGTTAAGTATTTCGATAGAACGCTTATGCAGTCATTTTCTTTAAACCTTAAGCTTTAAATTGATATACCATAAGTGCTATTTAATGATAGTTTTATGTCATGAAATCATAGACATTCTGTTTTGAAATCTGTCATTTGATAAGGTATAATCTAATACTAAGCTGGATTAGGTGTCGATTTGTCGAGGTGTCTCTTAATCTTTACAAGATGGATACTTTACTGCTTAGGTGATAGTCAGATATAGGGTCATTTTGACCCACAGCAATATCTGTTATTTAGGTAATAAACTCTTGTGTCTTTGACCCATCTAAATTTTTTGGCCATCCAATGAAGAAATAATTTAATTTTGTACTGGATCACTAATGATCTAAGCAACACGTTAGCAGCAAGCAAATTAATGAAATTCTCGAGGAATTTATGCGTACACAGAGGCAATGTAGTTCGTCGGTTTCTTCAGACGTCCTTGGATTTTCTACTTTCCAAAATAGACAAAAAGAAGACGAAAAGCAAAAGTGGAAGAAAAAGAAGAAGAACAACGTCAAAAGCCAAGATATGCTAAACGAGTGTTCTTAACCGTGCGTTCCGCTTGGAATTCACTTTCCTTCTCAACCGTGGAATTAGAACTTGATTGGTGAAAATCAATGATTATGATCGATCTCTAATCGATTGCGGTTTCGCTGATCCATTAAAAATTCAGTTTAAACTCCATTCACTGTTAATACCTGAGTACTCGAGTACTTTGGTGTCTAAGTACTTGGGTACTCCTGGGTGCTTGAGTACTCTGAAACCCTGAACCGGTACCCCAGTACTCAAATACCATTTTAATGCCGCTGATAGTGTCAGCAAAAAAAATCATCAAGTGTCAAGGTAACGTCATCAAGAATTTATTTCTTAACTGGTTGATTTAAGATCCGCCTGAAGCGGCCACATTCGAGCGCATCCTCGACTTTCTAAAAGCGATCGACTCGATCGATCGTGCGAGTTTTATTCAATCCTCTGGCGAGTCACGAACTGGCTTCTTCTGTTTTCAAAGAAAACGATTTTCCCGTGACAACTGAACGTGTTACGTTACGTTGACTCACAATCTTGTTTGAGAACGACTCTCGTTTCCTGCTTGGAATCGATAGACCGGATATTGCCTGCAGCGTCGCGTGTCGAACCTCCACGATGATCTAGATTCGAGATCTTGGTTATATTCCATGTCCAGACTTTGTCTCTTTCAGTAGGATTTTATTATTCCTTTTCATCTTTGAAGTATTCAAATACGCATGTATTTAGGTATTTAAGTGATGAGCTTAAGTACTCAAACATAAGGAGTACTCAGGTATTTAAGACACTTAAGTACTCAAAATACTTAAAATTCATAGGGTTGGGTCCTAATGACTCAGATACACGAGTACTCAGGTACCCAAGCGGTACTCAAGTTTTTAGGTGCAGGAGTACTTACGTGCCCAGGTACTCGAGTGCTTGGGTATCCCAGTACTCAAGTACTCAAGTACTCGAGTACTTAGGTATTTTATAAAATAATCCAAGTATTCTGATACCACTGGTACGAAATATCAGATTCTAAATTAAAGTATATAAAATGTAAATTTGCATTTTAATCAGCATTTAGAGTCGTTAAATTTCCTTGACATTCTAAAAAGTCAGAAATCATTCTTAAAAACTTCCGAATCAACCATATGCACAATTTCTCTCATACGTTACATCCAACTTTCTTGCAATTCTTACGTAATGGAGTAATTATCGCTACAACGATCGACTGCATAGTCTTACTCAATCGATCACTATCGCGATAAATAACCTGGCCAAAAGATGGCCCGTGTTGGTGCGCTCGAAAATCAAGTGAACACCTGTCGGCTCTAACAGTTACCTAGGATCAGGCAATGATCGGAGCCTATCGACCGAGAAAATCTTCGACATAGTTCGTATATAGAACGAAGGTAAACGAGGAATCGTGATCTAGCTGGGTATTCATAAATCAAGTGGAAGCGCACCTCTCGATCTACCGTGTTCGAGGAGAACGGACGATTCTAGATCCACCGATGAATGGATCGCGATCCACTTTTGTTTTCTTTCTCTTGAACCGTGTCAGATGGAAATTAGCATTTAAAAGACGAGATTCTGATATTTTATTCTTGTATAAAATGCCTTAATTTTCAATTTTAAATACCTCAGGAATTGATGAGTTCTTTAACATTGTATCATTTATACTTTTTCATGTAAAATATTTATAAAAATTGATCTATATGAAAAGAAATGTGATATTAAAATAATCTTAGGAAAATTTTAAAGGTTCCTTCACCTAGATTTGTGACCATCATAAAATTTTTGAAATAATTAATGTAAACATGTAAATTAATGTCAAATGGGACACCCTATAGCGAAGCCGTTCTCCTTCTAAGATCTGTGTCTTCAGTAGTGAGATCCGATCTTCGTTGCGAGCATTATGCTTCAATTCGAGACGATTTTATGGAAAGTGAAAGCAAACGAAGCATCGCTTCGAGTGATCAATTAGTCTTTGTCTAAATCATCCGATTCCCACGATGCGAGAGACCAGATTCTCAATCTGAATCATCGTTTTGAATACGAAATTTGTTCTTAAACGTTTGAACCCTTTCTGGTCTATTTATTAAGAAGTTCCAAAATTTTCTCATTCATTTATAAGGCAAACTATCATTAAAATTCTCGTGTAAAAATTGCAACAATGTTGTGAAAAGTTATTGTAATATTCATGTTTTTACATAACCAAGGGAGAAGATTGTTCCTTACCCAGCGTTTAAATCTCTGTACAGTAGAATACACGACCCAGCTGGTTTACGAGCAACATTTGCATCATCCTAATTAACGAGTGCAATTTGCATTAAAGGTAACTAATAGCGTTGAAAAATACTAAATTATACGGTAACTTGATTTATAGATAGCTGTCAGACAGTGGATGCTTTCGAAAATATCTTGAAACTCGAATAATTATTTTCTACCCTATCTCATCATCTTCCTTCAATCTTTTATAAAATATTTTAAATATGGAACTAAATTTAACCAAAATTATTTGTTAATGGCTTCGTTGAACGATGCCATTCCTATGAAACTATAACAACATGATGTTGCAAAATGCATTCAAACTGTAGAAATGGAAATAAGATAATAACGAGATCGATAGCTTTCTCCTTATACTACTCTAGAAATTATGGCCTCACCATATATGCAACGTTACCAAAGGAAGGAAAAAAAGAATTCACGATTGTAGCGAGACTTCTTTCTGGTCCGTCTGTCTGGTAGTCTGTACACGATCATCGATCGCTGTTCAAGATTATGTAAATTGTTACACATTAGAAAACAAATCCTCCGTTCTCTACGTTCGATCGCGCTTGAAATGGTCGATTTGTTGATCGCTATGCGATATCCCCACCACCGATCGGTGACCCAGGTTGTACCTTATTACACTTTCAAAATGCCCGCTGAAAGTAGGAATTCGAGTGACATATTTTCAGCCATACGAATTCCACGAACCGTGTTTTATTAACATACGAGAAAACGGTTATAACGTGGCCGCTAGGAATAAAGAAGTTTCTAAGCTTGTTCGCGGAATATGTGAGGTAACATTAATTATTGTCGTAGAACTTGATGTAGTACGGCGTTACTTGAAAATTCTTTGGAATTTTTGTTAGCAAATTCTTCAATTCCTCGAACACTGAATCGTTAAGTTATTGAATTATTGATTGGCGAGTCATACAATTTTATAGACTTCCAAGTTCCATTAGAATATTTTGTATTTAAATACGTGGAAATATGAGTATTCAAGTACCTGAGCAAGTACTGTGGCCATACCACAGTATCTGAGTGACCGATGGTCAAGGTACTTGAAAAAGTTACCTTAGTACTTTAAGTACCAAGTATTTCGAACGTATTGATATTGAAGTACTTGAATACTAAAGTATTTCAAGTACTTCAGCATTTCGAATACTCGAGTACTCAATTCAGCAACGTGGGTACCAGAATACCGGTACTCGCGAGTGCCCAAATACTTGAATACCGCAATACTTAAGTTTAATAATACCCCAAGGACCCAAACTTAGGTACCTAATTTTTTCTGAGTACCTCTTAATCCTCCCAAAAGACTTCATATTTTGATTTAGACAAGAAATGAATGTTTTCGAAAGTTAAGGCAATTTAAATAGCAATTTCTACTCACATGCTTTGTACATGTCTGAAAAGAAACGATTGAAAAGCAAAAGACACCATTAGAAACTGTTACATCAAGTTTTTTGATACATTACACGTTTTGAATTGTTTTTCAGATAGTTTTAGCGTGGAACGATCATTCGATCCATGCTATTAAAATCGCTTTAGAAACACTTTCTCCTTTTCGAAAAACATTCTTTAACGACCTCGATAATAAAACGACACCTCGAAATACCGAACTTACGCTCCACGAACCTGTAAATTTCACTTTACGACCACGATCGACATGTTCGACCATTTTGTTACATTTATACGTTTTTCAGAATACTGTACGACTACGTAACTCCATGTAAACGAGGTCAATAATCGCCCTTAGAGGGTTCTGTGGCATGCAAAACAAAAATTTATGATAAATTATCAATCCCTAGCCTTTGCATAAGTTATAAAATTTCAACCACTTTGAGAGGGATTTTCATCCCTTAAAAATGTTTCTTGGCAAATAAAAGAAACGTATCGTTTAATATATTTTAGTTTCATTGAAATGAAAAGGAGGTACATTGAAATGTTTCCTTGTGAATGACTCACAAGAAGCGAACACGTTTTTCCTCATGTTTTCTTGTACGATCGATAGTTCTCGAACGATAATCGATACCACGTTACGCAAGCCTGGCGCGAAATGCATTGTGAGACTTTCCCGAATGTGTCATATTACGGAAAGAGTAACTATAATACCTTTCATTCGATGTTTGAAACTGTTTTTTAACCCTGAAACCGCAGCTGTGAAACTTCTTTCACTCTATTAGATACACCTGTCATTTTCGATTATGTAACTCCGTGTTCCTCAAACTTTTTTAGTCGTGATACATGCTTTTTCATACTGGTAACCATGTTCATATAGACACTTCAAACAAGAAGTGTTGTTTGTTCAAGAATATTGATTATTTCGAAGTTAGGTTTCGATCTAGTTTGATTTAATAGCTAAAATATATGAAAATACCGTTCTTTTCATCGCTTGTTTTCTAATTTCTCATAGGAGTATATTTTTAGCAGAATTATGCTCTTATTTCTCTTATGGCGTATCTCACGGAAGTGGCAGTCCAGTTTCCTGTGTTACTACCGGTGAAATTGCTTGGGTGGGTATACTATTAGATTCAGGGAAAAGCGGTTGAAATTTTTCCTATGCCGCTTTTCCTTATCAGATTATATTTTTCAAATGTCGGATTATAATTATTCTATTTTCCTTGCAATTTCCTAACATGTACAACACCAAGCACGATAGGTTTCCCTAGAGAAAATGGCGATGTACAGCACTGAGCAAAGTAAGCTTCCCTAGGGAAAATGACAATGAAGGAGAATACTCCACCTAAATCCCAATTTTGTGAAAAATATTTATCAAAATAGATGAAATATTAAAGGAAATTTTCTCGACTAGATATTTAAACACGAGTGATGGCCTCCTTCCACAAGATCACCATTTTCCCTAGGGAAATGCACCATTCTCAGTACTCTACCTTTACTTTTCATCTCAATTCGCCTGAAAGCTTCTCGCCTTGGCTCGTATCCTTGCATGTATTGAGTTTCAACGACTGAAGCTCAATGTCCAGTTTCACTGTGCCTGCTCTGCTATAATAAAGTCGTCAGAGGATGGAAAGTGCGATCAGGGATCTTGGAATATTGATTCGAAACTGGATCGTGCTGGTTCCATGACTAACTTAATTGAATCGCTTCTAAACTCGTTAATTATACTCTCACTTTCTTTAATTAACACGGAAGCTGTTGGTGATTGATTTGTCATAGTATCCGATGAAGCGTGTAGATAAAGGTGTCATTTTACAAATTAATTATTTAGAGCAAAGTTGATCTAAAGATTTTCTATTGCAATTTTAATGTACATTCCTGGGCCATGAATCACCCTTGTTATCAATAAAGGGTTATTTTTGGAAATATTTTGGAAAAATAAAATCATGTCGATAGACACAAAAATGATAGAATTAACTAGTATATGAAGTAGACTGAAATATCATTTCCGCGATCTATAAGCGTTCTAAGTTTATCATTTTCGACTTGGTTACAGCAGAAATTACGCAACCATGCAGAACTGGATTTCTTAAGCGATCGAGCGCGTATTAAAAAAGAAACTCGCGACCGCGCTGATTCGAAATATACACCTAATATGCAAATGCACAGAAGCAAAAATGTTGAACGTTTCATTTGCTTTCCTTTATCTCCGCTCTCGTAATACACTTTCGCGTCTTAGATAATAACGTGGAAAATATCTTACCGGCTTTGTCATTCATCTATTATCCGCGAAGCGGAAGTGATCGAACAGGTATTGATTAACCGAGACGATCGACGCGTATCGATTTCACATTTCTTCGACCTCGACCATCTCTTCCGAATGATTTCAAAATGAATACTTAAAAATGCTTGAAATTTTATTTTAAAAGCTGGTCTTTGATGCCGTACCGATAATTGAAGTGTTAAATCCGCAAATAAGGGTTATCATTTAAAAAAATGTTTTAACGGGGTACGGTGACAATTTCAGAAAATCGAGCGCGAACAAACGCGACAACAAACAGCTGACATTTCACAGCTGGTTACATAAACGCTTATTTCCGAATCGAAACAGAGAAACTTCTATACTGTCGACTAGGATACAACACAGCGAGTTGTCGTTATGGCGTGCCAATAAGAAGCCCAGAACCGCCAGCAGCGATAGTTGCTGGACAACTGGGTAACCAGTTAGCTTTCATTTTCGATAACCACTTGTTCAAATGTCTGCATTCTTTCGAAAGGTCGGTAATCGCGCGTAAGACCGTGGTCAAAGTAGCCAAAAAAAAAAAAAAAAAAGAACTTGGAACCAGTTGATAAATCTAATCAATTTTCCAAGCTACATAGAACTTATAATTAGTAGTTTGTATTAGTAGTTTTTTGTATTTATTTTTATAGAGATATCTAAACAATTTCAATGAAAGAAATGAGGAGAAATTAATGATTATAGAATTTCACTACGAGTAATTAAAATTTTTGTCTGGGGTGGGATAAATTTCTCTAACAAATTAATAAAAGATTTTACAGGCTAACAAATATTTTTTATGGGGTTGAAAGAAGAGCTAGCCCAATCCTGGCCCTCACCTTAGTTACCCCCCAAGGTGGTCCTATAATTATGACCGGCAGTGTACATCTTCAAGTTTATGGGATCCCGTTTTCATTAATGAAAACTGTTCGATAATTCAATAGACGATTCACAGTGTAAACCGGTTCGACGAGTGTGGTCCATCGAGAGAAAGGCGTTCATTCAATGGGGGTGAACAATAAATTATTGCATTGAACTCGGACGCATATACATTCATATGCTAAACAATAAAATTTACGCTATTCCTTTGATTACGTGGTCCCTTCTATAAGATAATTGCAAATGAAATGGTTCATTTATTTTCATAATTTTTGTATGTATGTCAAATGCATGACATAAACATAACTCCTAGAAGATTTTTATCAATTCTACTTCTAAGAAATTTGATTATCGTTTTATCCCTTAGCCTATCGCATTGAAAACACTACCTAACAATCGTGTATGATGAATTGTATCGTTGAGAAGAATGTTTAATTTTTTACTTAACGCCCAGCATCTTGGCGAAATAGAAATCGTTACGACGAACATTAGTCATTATTGATCCCCTGGATTTATTGCAGCCGATATGCAATCAGGATCGCGTTTCTTGCGGCGTAAACAAGAAAGCATTCTCTCCCGACGTTATCTAACTGCGAGAAATCTAAGAGTTTCGTTTCACTTCATGGCAAGCCACCATAAATCAAAGCACCACTCGCGTATTATCGTCCCTATCAAAGCCACATCATCGGTTCACAGATCAATAGAGCATTCTTGCATTGAACCAAAGGGTTAACAAATTCAGATTCCAAGGATTTTATTCAATATTTAACATTCAGACAAGAATGAGAGGCTAGAAACATCCTAAGACAGGTGGTAAAACTCATAAAGAATGATTAGATTTAATAAAAATAAGATGCCACTTTGTATACCACCAATTTTGGTACACCTTGTATATGCATATTTGTAGAAAGACTTATGGTCTTCATTTCACGGATATTTCATAGGAAACAAGATCCAGCCCTATCCGCGGCTGAATTGTCTTCACGCAGTCATCAATCAATGACACGGTCGAGACACGCTTTCTTAATGCCACGCCGCCATTGCTAGACAAAAATAAAGATTCCTCGCTGCCAATCTGGGTATATTTCTTACGCAACAGGTGGCAAGCCTGAGTGCTAGGATCCCCCGTGAAGATCCGTGACAAAGTCTACAGAAGGTGCCTCAAAAACGTGTCTACATCTTTGTAAATGTTTAGGTAAGCGTGAAAATCGAATTTTTATTCAATTCTGTCTTGTAATGGGTCTTTAACACCTGTGTTAATAAGTGAGTAACCATTTTTGGATGAACGTTGAATTCATGATGTTCCGATTGAAATATTGTCAAACTTATGGACATTTCTAAAATTCGTGTCATGTTCATAAACAGAATACCTAATGTATCTGAGTACACCATGTAAATCAATTGGACACATTTTGGTTTGGTTAGGTTAAGTTAGGTTAAGTTAAAGGTTATACATAACCTATATTTGAGTGGCGCTAGCGGTTCCATAAGAGACACTGAGTGTTTCAACAATTTGAAACCAAAAATACTGCAAAATTTTGTAGAAGAATTAATGAAGAACTTCCGGCGCCCTAGGGGAATCTAGTAACTCTCATATGTTTCAACCATCCTACTACCTTTTCCATCGACCACACAGCCGATCTGGTAAATGATGGGCAATAAATTAGCCTGGATAGATGCGTGGCAGCGATTCGATTGTACATTGCCCAATCCCCGGGAAAATAGCAGGGAAACACTTGCTCGGCAAGACAGTTCCGCGTTAATTTACCGAGAACACGGGGCCTTTTTTTGGGCTCGGATGCGATTTATGCAAACCACGGTCTCGCCGGGGATCATTTCTGGAGCAACACGGTGTAATTGATTGCTCGCTGTGTCCTGATTTCAGCGCACACTTCCCTGTGGAAAATCTGCGCTCGCTAATGGAGTCTCTTGCAGAGTCCAACACGGTAATTTAGAGATGTCTATGGATTATTAAGTGGCCTGCTGCTGCAGCTATATGTGGGGTACTCTACTTGTTGGGAGGTATTATTGAGAACGTTATCCTAATTGATCGATGGACTACTTTATTCGAAAGGAAAGGCAGAAATCGATGATAAAATTGAGGTAAAGTGGTCATACTCAGTGAGGAGCTTACATAAATCTATGGGAGGAATAATTTATGGATTTCTGAACAGTATGAGCCAAGGTTTTGGAACTGATCTGCTTACGAACCAAATTTGTCTATAAGGGAATTAAGTGTCGATATATGAAGAAATATTATGATAAAATTACTAAACACTCTAACTTGTTACTATTATATAACTATGACCTAATGAAAGTCCAATGTCGTAACTCACAAATATCTGAAATGCTATTAAGTACCGATGCGTGGATAGTGTTTAAACGATTAAGAAGTATTATGTCTTAATCGATGTGCAGCGATTTTTGAACTGCTTTATAAGAAAATTACTATGAAATAGGCTAAGGAGCTTATGTAAGATGTTAAGTGGTAGATATTCTGATCACGGGAAAGTATTATAGTAGACTTTACTAAGAAGATCACCACAGTTGATCTAAGGAAATTGGTAGACTGCTTTACAAGAAAGTCTCAAATAAAGGAAGTTAAAGGCTCTGAGAAATACTAATTTAAACTGCCAATACTACAAGCTTGTTCAAACTCAATGTGGTGACTCAAACATCTTCATGTCCTGTTGAATAATGTACACTGCCAATGAACAACTTTGTATTCTAATGATTAGGAAGTAACATAACAGAGATCTAAAAGATCATTGTAGTGCTTTACTAGAAAGTTGCAAGTAATCTAAAAGTAACAAAGAAAGTTAATAGAACATGCATACAAGTATAGTTATCCAGATTCAACTATAAAGTTCCATATATGCTAAATTACTTTATGAAAAATTGTTAATTTATAAATTGCCATAAATGGTAATATTATCTTATGGATGAACCCATCCCACTAATGCTAATGACAAAAATCCATAATTGTCTACGTCATAGACCATACATAGTCCATAATAATTATCAACCTACAAGTTCCTGTATGACAAATCAGGTGTTCATAATGATCACAGAAACTTGTTTTTCCTATGTATCATACATAAATTACCAGCTTCTGGAAACTTCAATGATTCATTAAATATTTTCCAAGTTAATTTTACAAGTCACCCTAAATATGTAAAGAAGGAACAAATATTTATTTAAAAAATTGACTTTTCAAAAAAAGAAAAATCCCAGAAATGCATCTTTTGTTGGTCCTCCTGAGTAGGACAGACAACTTGAAGGATTCGAATCAGTGACTCGAGTTCCATCATAAGATAAGGGGTCAAAACGGTCAGCGAGAGAGGAGATCACGAACCTGAGGTATCCCGCGAGCCTCAACGATCCCTCCAGGACGAGTATACGTTCGACGACCTCTGGACACTTGTGTCCGCGGATGGGCCACCACAGTACGAGCTATCTGTCCCTGGAAGCACGCAGGATCTTGCGCATGTTAACGCACACAGCTCGCTGTTCACAATGGACACAATTCATTCTGTCCCGGTGCACGTGAGTGCTCTCATCCTCGATCGATCCTCGATGAACCTGAGCCACCGGTTTCTACCTCCTTGGGATAGATCGGTATCCACCTGGAGATATCGCGTCACCGGACTAAACAACACTTTCTCTCCGCGCCGTCACGAAAATAACCACAGACGAACACGTCCTTTTACCGATTTCTTCCAGTCACGAATTCCTAGGCCGTAGAAAACCGGCACGTGCCACCTGAAAGACCCACGGATCACTCTGGACCAAGGCTCTAGAGGCAGCTAGAGCGTATTGTGAGTTTCCTGGATCAATTTTCGAATACGTCGAACGAAAATGATTCCTTGGATCACTTTGCGGATACAACATACACTTTCTTCTTGGAATTTTCTATTTTTATTTCATTGGAGAACTCGCGGGAAATTTGAATTCGCTGAGTTTGAACGCACGGCCTCTTAGGACACAACTCGGGATCTGTCAACCTCGCTCCGTGGAAGCGATCGTCAGACTAAAGTCGTTCCACTGGAAACCGAGTACGTGCATGGGTTTCTTATCCCTCCTGTTAGCACGAAATCTCGCCATCTTTCTCTCTCTCACGCCTGTTGGAGAGTGAACTCGCTCCCTCTCGCTTCGTCTTTCAGGTGACTCTGTTACCGACGGTGGAAGGGATACCAAATCCAAGGATACCTCGAGTACCGATTATAAAAAATAATTTGGCGTCCGGTTTCGGTGCGGGGGCGAGAATTTTGAAAATTTTTCCGTTCTTTAATCTTTATCAAGTTCAATGCTACGAGAGGCTGGCAATGGCCCACAAAAGATTTACAATTTTCTGATATAATTAGAGAAATCTTTAAACAAGCTAGCGATTTAAAAAAATGAAAAATACACTCAAATCACTTTTTTATTATAACAATTGATCTACAAGATATTATATGAGATTGGAAATCAGAGAATCCATTTTGAACATCATACTCTGATGAAGAATTGCAATTAATCACTTGCAAATTATTGTGGAATAATGATGAAGGGTGCAGTATCTTAAAATCAGGAGAGAAAAAACTTGGATAACATGAATTATCAAAATTGACTGCTCATTTTTCGGACGATAATCACTGCTTACCCGAGAAATAATAAGAGGAGAACTGAGAAAGGCGAGAAGAGTGATCAATATGTTACATACGAAACGTCCAATCATTTTGTCGAGCAATTTTTTACAAGCTTAAACAGACTTTCAGCGGTAATATCGAATTTTTCTCGAAGGATTTACAAGCGTTCCAACGATTAAATACGTCGAGTTACCTTGACTGAACGGGACCGATTGAGATGTAGATTAATCGACTGCAGAAACCGCTAACGAAATCGTCAATTATGATAGGAGATACAGCGTGGGCGTGGTTTCTTTGTCAAAATGATCTTTCTCTTTTTATATTGGTGAACGCGTGCCACTTAGGAAATTGTAATTTCGAGATTCGTACCTCGAGTTAATTACAAAACGGAGATTTCAAATTGTGTCGAGGTCTAATTTGGAATCTACTGAATCTGAGGCTTTGTATTAAATAAATAAGATCTAAAATCAGATCGATGAAATCAATTTGCCATGTTCCCTCAAATCCGTCAATCATAAAGGTATCAATGCCTCCAGCGATTGACTGGAGAACAATAGATTCTGGTTCTAGAAAAAGAAAGAAAAGAAGAATAGAAAATCAATTGAATGGCATTGAGATCTTGTATGGAATTCATACTTTTCCATGGACGGGATATAAATCGACACGAAAATAGAACAGACAGGAAGGCGAAGAGAAAGAGAGTGCCAAGGGAGTGAAACGAGTGCCAAGAATCAGCTGAGAAAAGTGCGAGGGAAAAGTGAGCTGGATGGCCTTCGCGACAATTCACATTTACTTCTTGTTTCGCTGCTCGAATTCAGACGAATTCCATCGATCGATCGAGAGTCGAACCATTTTCGATGAAAAGAACATCCCTTAATTCATTGGCTACTTTGAGATGAAAATTAATTTCATAAACGAAATTTTCAATCTTACCCCAAAGTTAAATGTATCATTTTTAAACGAAAGGGTTTCATATGTTGGAAGAATAATTTTTAAAGGAACAGTATAAAATTAAGAAAATGAAAATTAAATTAAAATTGGAGCTCTCTCCATGGTCCGCCGCCCGAGAGGCGGACTTTTCCTATACTTACCCTTAACAAAAAAGGTCTACATTTAAGAGATAGCATTTAAGAACTGCATACTTTATTTCGTACTCCCGTATTCTACTACTACAACCAGACCTTAATTAAGACAGCATGGTGCGTAATTAAAAGATCGTTCAATCGTTCTAATTATTACACAAAGCCGGCTAATGTCCACGCGTAAAAAGAATCTGATCCGCTGGATACAGAAATCGGTGTTCTCGCATACAGGGATCGCATTAAAGCTGGCAGAGAAAGGCGGCCACCCACTGGCTTACACAACGTTTTGCTCCAGTTATTAGTGTGTGACTGTTTTACGGGCCGTGGTTTTGTCATTCATCTCAAGACAGACAAAACAGTTGCCCACTAAATGCGAAAATTAATTAAATAGTTGAAGGATTTTAAGATGATTCCATATGCAAAGATAAGTTGAAAATGTAAAATAAGTTCTTTCATAGGATTCCCAATATGGTACCAATAATTTCCTTTGACTGATCAACACTATTGATTGATCCGATTTTATCTAAACGAAATCTAAATTGTTACACATCTCGATTAAATCGTCACGAAGCAGACATAACCCGGAGACGAAACTCCAATGTCATCCGTGGTTGATTAATGATCATAAACGTGCTCGATGAAAGTGTTATCATTTCACAATGCCACGTAACAGCCGGCTATTGTCATCGTAACTATCTACGTGCTACCAGAACCGACTGACACAACAATACCAGGCCCAACCATAGCCTCTGCATAATATTAACTGGCTCTCTGTCGTAACATTACTGCTGACCGTACCTCAACTATACTAACTCGTAGAATACCGATCATAATTATCATTACTGTTCGCAATTTTCCGTTTAGATCTTTCATGGGCCTTCGTAATGACGGTGGATTAATTTGGACTGTTTTATGGGGGTTGAAGGAACTTTCTAATTTTGTAGTTTGGAATAAGAGTAGAATAAGGATAATTTGGGAGGATTACAATTATGACAGTTATTATTAGTACGATCCAACACCTAGTATCCAATACCAGTACCCAGTATCAAATATTTAACACCCAATACTCAGTACCGAGTAACCAATACTCAATACTCAGTATCCGGCATCCAATGCCCAGTACTCAGTACCCGGTATCCAATACCTGCTACCCCATACCACTACCAGTACTCATACTAATGCTAATGGTAATAGTAGTAGTATTTTACCAGAATACTCGTAATTAGAAATAATAATAGTCACCATTCGTTCAAAAAGTGTTTCGGGACAATAAACACGGGCTTTCGTATTACGCAAATCTTGAGTTTTGCAATTTTAGTTACAGGCTGACGCTTAATACGTGCATCGAATTGAATGTTAATAAAACAGCCTATCGCCTTTCGAACGAAACGTTTCCTGCGGTAATTGTTAGAAACACTATAAGGAGGAAAAACGTGTGACACTCAATTTGAACAAAAGCTGCATTCCAGGAAACAATAATCCCTTTAACCGGAAAATTAGTTGAAAGTGTAAATTCACGACTCAGGTTATCCGTAACCAATGATTTATTGAAGTAAAAGTACAGAACACAATTTTTTATTAAAAAAGAAAAATTGTTTAATATGACCCGGAAGTAACAGCAAGCTTCCACTGAAGGAAAAACTCTAAAGGCGCCTGTTATCAACGGCAGCCATCGATAATTTCGACAAATGCAAAATTATTGCGTGCCCGCACGTGTGGCCCGATATCAAACGGTCAATTTACCGGTTGTATCGAAAGAAAAGCCTTGCAAGTGTCCCTTGCTCTTTTCTAATCATATTAGCATATCTAGGTGAACCGTGCTCTCTCTCAAGAGTGATTGTACAGATCTACACGCGCGGCACCAGAGGCCATTTCCTTTTATCGTTCTTGCAGACAGAGCGACAAATGTCGTGTTACTGCCACGCGGATATGCGAACTGTCGTAAGCTCTCCCACTCGTTTCGCGACGTGTACGATAACACATAGAGTTACTGTTAAATAAAAAAAAAAAAAATCGTAACAGAGGATATAATGGGTAATAGAACAATCACTAACGGGATAACGCAATGGGTACATAGGGCAATTATTTGCACCCAATATCCAATCTCACTACCCAGTACCCAAATACCAATTACTTTTGAAATATAAATTTATATGATATAAAGAAAGATGAAACTCCATGATAAAACCAGTTTTACTAAATCATTCATTTATTCAGCGATCACCAGGTTGTCATGGAGATTCATGAATCCTCCCTAGCAGGCTAATTAATCAAAGCATTTCATCGGAACAATTTCGATAAAGAATGGATACAGTTGGACCGAATATGCTAATCAACTGGCGAAATTACGTCAGGAATCGCACTCGAAAAATATTTTTTCACGCTTTTTGGCTTATTTGGGGTTCTTATCCTTAGAAAATAATCCTGTTTTGTGTTGTGTTATTATTTCAATATAAACATTTGTTGCATAAAAATATGACTAATTAAAGGAAAAAAAATAAAATTACGGTATTGCACTGTAGCTATGAGGTAAAAAAAATGTAGATATGAATATACATAATAATCTATATTATACTTAAACTATATTACAAACTAAACTTACTCGCTACTTGAGTCATTAGCACCCGAAGAACATTCCGTCGATTCTGATTGTTCATCTTCATCAGCAGCAGTACTAACAATTTCTCTTTGCAAGTCACTTACATCTGTGTCTGTTTCTAATAATTCAAATACCTCGGCGCTTAACAAGTTGAGTTTTTTTTTGGTACTTCACGAAAAGTATTTATTAACGGGTCCGAGGTAACTAATAACATTGTTAACAAGTTCGAACTAGTGTCGAATCGTGTTGTTTTTCTGGTGTGTCTCTCTCTGAATCTTTATGGCGTGCTTCTTAATCCTCTTCCGACATTTGCCCAATAGGGACAATAAAAAATTGAATTATATCTTTTGCATGGTAAAACAGTTTGTGTAAAGTTACTGGCATGTTGTACCAGGAATATAAACTGTGAATTATAAAAAAAAGACCACTAATTGACGAGCGTATCGGTTGTACCAATATATGTCACTGGCGTCAGCGTTAACTTCATTTTAACAATTAGCATATTTTTGCAAATTCTTGCAAATCGAGTATGGTATTAAAATAAAGCAGACAATCTCTACTTTTCATAGGTACAACTTTCATCACGTGGAACGACGTGGAGCATATACTTCTACACTGACGAATCGTTACATTATGAAAATTTTTCATACGAAATAATAACCTAACTCGAAGATCGATTTACAAAAATACAAGAAAGGAATTGATGATTTGGGGTGATTAAAACTGATATATTTTAACAAACTTATAACATATTCCAGTCGACCATGGAAATGCGCTCGATTGACTAGCGATGAGTTGTCCGCTCTTACATAGTACTTTGCCTAGTCTGTACACATTTACGAAAAGGCTGGAAGGTCTTACAATATTAGAATTTTAATCTATGGTTATTCTAGATTACATAAAAACAATTAGTTTTTATTAATTCGAAAATGATTTTTGTCCACCTAAATCAGCCATTCGAACCACTGTGTCGCGGTGCCATTTTCGTCGCTCGATTTCGACACTCCTCCTCCCGATCCTTGAAGGATAAAAGAACTACCGCAGCAGGAGGGCGGCCGAAATTGTAGAAACAACGTGTCACGGCGCACGTTGAATCATTGAAAAAGAACAGGAGAAAAAAAGAGGAAGAACGGGCAGTTTCGAGCGTGCGCGACGCGAAAGTACCGAGAAACCGTGACTTTTTGCGCTCGATGTCTTATTATGTAACCTGTCCTTTCGATCTGCCGGGAACCTTTATTTCTCCTCCGCCACCGACATCTGGCAAGCAGATCGTCCGTAACTCTCCTCCTCCTAACGGCGGTTAATTGAAAGATCGTATATCTACGTGCATCGTAATAGGAGAGATGCTTCCTGAGATTACCGTGCTCTGTGGCCTACAGACTTTTTGTTTATTGATAGAAACCTAACGCTTTCATTATTGAGGATGAATATAGATAGTCATCAGAATGATAGCTGTGGTCACTCACTATTAAGGACTCATTACTCAGGACCGTGTACCAAGAAAGACCAGGGTCATTTGGCTTTCTAGGAGACCACTGGGTACTAAGGATCACTATACTCGGCCACTACTCAACCCTGGTTAATTAGGAAGGGTGGCTATAGTCACTCATTCTCCATTATCCAGAACTCGTAAATAGGAAGTACTGTATGAGTCTGATCAGTTGGCACCTGGGTCAGCAAGGGGGCTGAGAGAGGCAAAGGGCTAAGCCTACACCTCCCACATACCAACTCCTCAGACTCGTACAGTCCTTACCAGAAGGTAATTGGGAAGTCCCCCAGTAGGGACTTGAAGTCGTTCTATTAAATCTTTATCGAGAGATCCTTAAGTCCTAGTCCACCCCTAGCGACTATAGTTACCCATTACTAGCCTAGCAGCGCTGGACCCTCACTGTGCACTAAGAATAACTAATCACCCACTGCCCGTCCGCGTTGACACGTCGACTCGCAAGGTTTATAGAGAAAGCAGTGGCAGCAGGATTTACATAAGGAGCCCCGTGTATCGGCTGGACAATTGAATTTTGAAATCGCACTCACCACACCCACACGATCACCCGCTAGGCGCCACCTTGAACCCAAGACAGAGCGACCGTATGATTAACGACACGAAGGCATTCTAATTGGCCTTCATCGCGGCGGAATAAAAGCGGGGCATTCCTCGCGAAGTGACAGAAATTTCCAAGGTGGTCATACACTTATGGTCCCGAACCAACGTGAACCGTCTAACGGGAACAATAGGGGATTGAAGTTGAATGAAAGAGACGAAGAATAAACAAGTCGTTGTGAAATTGGATGGGAGACGAGGATGGCGAAAAATATGCGCCCGATGAAGAGATAAATGTTCACTTACGACTTTGTGGGTCAGTCGGTATGAAAGCTACTTTCGGGAATGTATGATGGAGTGGGCCGAGTGAAAAATGGTTCTTTTGAGTGGGATGTTGTGGAAGTAACTGTATATAAATTACACAGGCTCGTGTCCTTGTGCAGTATAATGTAAAGGATACATTCAAGGATAAATGGATAAATGAGATCAGAATTTAAGTAACTAATTGCCATGATCAGTAGAACATGCCATGATTTTTTGAGCAATGGCATCTTTCCCTCATCATTTTCTAATTATTTGGCTAAATCTCATAGTACCAATCACCAAAGACCACCCATGGCGTCAATATGCGTACTACAAGTTTGCATTAAAAATTGCCAAATTAGGTTACCAATTTACACAATCCAGATAACCTTTCCTTCGCATACCTAAATTATGATTAACGATCAGATTCGACGTTGGACGTATAAAAATCACTTTTTAATTATAAATCATTAGCGTCATAGAGATTAAGATCGATATAAGTGGCTGCAACTTTGTGCTACCGCTAACACTCATTTTCCTTTATCTCTTCGAACCGAACTATAAAAACACGATAAAAAATTCCTCGCTACCATTAGAGGAACTTATTTATAATCGACGATTTCACAGGAGGGACCCGTTCTCAGGACTTTTACTCGCAGTTTCGTGTGTTGCTCGGTAGCACAGCAACAAAACGTTCCAGTTTCGATAAAAGGACGTTGAGCAACCGATAATGACCGCGACCAAGTTAGTATAGCACGGCTACCTGAGAACAATCGTATGCGTGCAATTTTCTGTTGTCTCAACGTCCTACAGAGACACGTAATCCCTTGGAACATTGCAATATCGGCTGTCATGAACGGCGATGGGAATAAAAATCAACACTCTTTCCTTCTAAATATTTTCTATACTATCTGACTTATAATTTAAGATTCCTTATACTACTTATCGTTCTAATTTCTTTCAGAACCACCCTTAAATATCTTTGAATGTTATACAGGTGGAGTCAATAAAAACTGCCACCTGTAATAACTCTAAAGTCAATGGATAATGAGTTGTTTCAGGTGGTAGCTTTTGCTGATCCTGTATTTAATCATACACTCTCAATCTGACAATACACATACCACAAAGCACACAAGGAAACAATTAGTCTCTTTGTTGCAATTATAGCAAAGTAAAAAGGGTTTATTAAAAATATTGTACAGTGTAAATTAACATATTTTTATAGCTCTTACATGCTTACACAACAATATCTCTATAAATCTTATTATGCCCCATAGAAAATGCAATATGTCAGTTCAACAGATCGTGATTATAACATTTATGTAGATTTGAGATTTATAGTTGAATACTGTAAATATAGAAGACACATATTATCCTATCTATTTTTTATATCAATAACGACCTGTAAAGTTGAAATCATCATTTATTTTATTGTTGGATGAATGTATACTAAGCTATCACATGCTTTTCACTCACTTTTCCTGGTAATTTCTTATTGACAATAAATTCCAGTGCATCATTTATTTTAAGTAATCCAACATTTAATACACATGTTGGTTTAATCAAACCCTCCTCGAAAAATTCTAAGATATCATCCCCTGCTTGTCTGATTTAAAACACATAAATATTAGGTGATTTAAATCTAATGTAAGCATCAACTCTGTCCTATAAATTTTGTTAGCTATTTCCGTTTTAATTAAAATTGACACAATTTTCAATGACTTATTCTTAAGGGCTTTATACAAAACAAAATTCATAGGACATTGTAATTTTACAAAAAATATTATACCTATATGTTTCAGGATTTGCCTTTCTAAATTCTCTTAAATTTAATCCAGTAACACTGAAACTACCTTCCTGATCTTTAGATTCATCATTTGATTTAATTGTAGCTGTGCCAGCAATTATTGCCCTACCTTAATGACAAAAACTATCATTACACAAGTTGTCCTACATCAAATTACGACTAACTCTATAATAATTTTATACCTTCGCGAGAAAGATGGTGCAATACCACGGCAAAACTATCGTCACGTGACAAATCTTTTATCGTTGCATCGGGTTTGTAGATATCAGTAAAGCTAAAAGTACAACAGAGTTGCTACCACTGTTTATTTTCATGATTTTCATCTTCTTTAGAGAGACTCACCAACTTAGGATCTTTTTAAGGTATTTACCATCAGCATCATCAAAAATAGCTTTAATATCTTTGTCAGCAGCTACTTCCTCAATTTGTTTTAATAATGTACGATCTTTAAATTTAAAAGATGCAAGCACACCCTTTTCCCTAGCAAGTGCTGCACCATCTTCGGTAGCACAAACACTTATTACCTGAATAAACAATTGCCTAATTCACAATGCAACCCAATTATCTTTGAAATTCTACAACAGCTAAACCGACCTGAGCTTTGAAAACATTTGTTGCAAGATCAACAGCTGCCAACCCAGTACTACTTACACCAACATTAACAAACATAATATCATGTTCTTGGAGGCTAACTTTTTTTTCTAAAGCAATCAAAGCAGTAATATAATCATCAAGTAATCCTATAGCATCCAATGATTTTATCTCAGATGGTATTTTCCAAACATCCTATAAATTTAACTTACAATCGGATGCAAAACACAAGGATGTTTCAATACACAAAACCTGCTTACAGCAATTTCTGCCACACACTGCTCAGCTAAACCTCCATAACGATCTTTATTAAGAGCAATAACCTTATCGCCAATTTTATACCCTTTCTTTTTTGCTTCTTCTCCAACTTGAACCAATTTCCCAACAAGTTCATAACCGAGAACCATTGGTAAAGTTGGTTCAAATGTATATAAATTTTTAGATAATAAAACATCTGATGCATTGAGAGCACAGTAATTAACATCAATAAGAACCTGACAATGAAAAAGATGCTTTGTGTCTATGTCTTATATTCTGAACCTTACTTATTGAGAAAATTGTTTTGTTATAAATACTAAATATTATTTTGTCTACATCATAAAAAATAACCACAAACAATATAAATTATAATATGGAATAAAAAATCCATGGAGTTGAAACCTAAAATAAATTATTAAATGATTAATTATTAAACCATGCTCTTACTTCGTTTGTTTGTAACATTTTGGGGGATTCTAAATTTTCTACAATAAGGGATTCGTTGAATTTCTTCAACACGGCTGCCAAAATTTTGCCTGCTTCGGAAGCCGGTATTCCAGGTTTTGCATCTTCTAGGTTAAGCGACTTTTCTTTAGCTTCAGAAGTAAACCCAAGGATTCTTGTCCGTGTCGACAACTTCTTCAAATGATTTTTACAAAAATGCGTTAAAATTCTTCGTCCTACCACGACTGACATTGTTCTTGAACCACAACTATTACTCAATACACAAGGAGCAGTGACACGACGCAAAATATTGCCGTATCCATTCGTCGTATCCTTCGCGCATGCGCGTCACTGCTCCAGTATCGAACTAAAAATTTGAATCGTTGAAGTAACAATCGAAGCGCAACGTCAACATATCGATATTTCGGAAGAACAAGAAGGAAGTTAGTAATTCGCGGTTGTTAACTTTGAAACGGCGTGCTCTTATATTCGATGCAATTTAAAATAGTATTTAGTGTATTTAATAGTGTAATATAAGTGTTTTGTTGGACTGTGAGTACGTGGATTATGGAACAACACTTTTGGACAGCAAAATTCTCCTATCAGCAGCTTAAACTACTTGCAGACATCATTCAAAAAAGGTAAGTGGAAATACATTTTGTTTTCTAGAAGCGGCCATTATTCGAATATATGTTTCTCTTTATTCTGAAAGCATTTCTGACTTTTCTACTAAGTATATCAACTAAAACTGTATTTAAACTTGTTGAAATATTCGTAACTGAACTTTATTTGCAATATATTATGGAAAAGTATCATTAAATGTGCTAATAGAGGTACATAAGGTAGTTATTACAAAACAGTTACAAAGCAGTAGTAATGTAGGATAAACTTACCGATCGCCCAATGTGTGAAATATTCTGATCTTGAGAAAAATCCCGTGGCTATTAAAGGAGACTTTTTCAATGAAATTGTCGTAGAATCCATTGTTAAAAATTCACTATGAAATAGAGGAAACCGGAAATGAATTAAATTAAAATTAAATTAGTCAACTTCAATTTCAAATCAATCGAATCAATCATTAATAATAATGTATTAGTCGCAGGATATTTTTATAACATAATTAATTTTTTTGCACACTATATACGAAAAATTTAATTGAAAAAATTAGCAGAATAAAAAGCAAACAAATTTCTTATGTACAACTAAAATATATACAAATTTTGAAAAATAAATGAGAAGTTAAAAATGAAACTGGAAAGTTTCGCGATATGGCGCAACCTCGTAACACAATATTTCAAAAAATTCATAAAATCATAACTAACGAACGAAATTCAATCAGAAAAATATATACAGTTCATGAACAGTCTCTAAATTTTAGTATTTATTGAATATACCTGTTAAACAGGTTGATACGTCGCACTTTTATCACAAAATTTATTCACCAACTTTACAAACGCGTTTAATTGAGCATAATTGATTAAAAAATTTGTAATGAATTAGAGATACGTGTATTTGATAACCGACACCAGTCACGGAAACGTGTTTCCTCCGCGGTGTTCAAAATAAGAATGAAACGATCCAGTTTTAATTCTTCGAGCCTCCCCACCAAACATCCACTATATTCGTTTATTTATTTTTTTTTTTTTTGAGCTCCTCGTTGATCCAGTTAATATACATACATTAGTAGACATTTAAATTAAAAAAGAAAATAGGAATCGCAAGCTAAAAATCTGTTACTATTAGAAGTTAGTTTATTAGTACAAAAACTATAAGAAGGATAAAATGATAAAATACAAAGCATCTGAACTTTATTTATTGAGTTAATACATCTTTGCAACTGATACGTCTCTTTTTTTTGTTCAATGATTATATAATAATATCTTACAGTAAAGAATACATAGTAATTCAGTTTCTGCAAACAACCATGAAAATTAAGTACAACGTTTATACAATACATGAAAATGACTATGGAAGTTTTACTTGAATCGTTAGTATTGTTAAAAGAAAATAGAAACATATGAACCATAATATTCGTATACTGATCATACAATGATTAATTATACTGAGCTGAGCGAAATGATACTTGTCGAGGTACTACTAACACAAACGATTATAAATTTGATGAAATTTATTCGTTGACGATATTGATTCATGCATTAAATGGTATGACCAGCCTTACCCATTACTATCACAAAACAGTTATATCATGAAATTGTTAGTTTATCGCTTAAACATATTGTAGATACTAAATTTGATTGACCAGATTAAAGTTAAAATAATAAGGCGACGAGTATGACTAGTATTAAATTACAATGTTACGTTACAAAAGTAGTAAACTTATTTAACGCCTTGTGTTAGTTCAAATAAAACTACATAATGTTAAGAGTATATTTAGGCTGCTTCAATCTCACTTATGATTCGGGCATGAAATGAAAAAAAGAAAGTAGCAACGAAAGAAGCATTTACATTAACGAGATATGCTATTGTAAACATTCTAGTCTCGGTAGAATTATGATAAGTTCTGTAAAACAGTCCTGAAAATGGCGGGAACTTGATGGTCGGGTCGAGTAAGGTTAGGTCAGGAATGGTTGGGTTGAGTTTGGTTGGGTCGAGTCCCAAAAATATTCTCAGGTGTTGAAGATATCAGGATTCCTGAGAATTTTGGCCTCGAAATTCTTAGAAATCCTGAGCTTTCGTGGAATACTTTTGATCTTTAAAACATATTCTCCACCTAACCCTAACTGATCCGCCATTTTCGGGTTCTCACACACCTCTACACAATGCAGATTTCAGTTACAATGATTGTAATGTTGATTCCAAAACGGACTGTTTTCATAACAGCTTTGATAACTTGATTCCAACATATCTAACACCTCTCAGCCTTACAGACACTTGATTAGTATTAAAATAAAAGTTACTTCGCTTGAAGGCATATACAATGTAAGCAATACAAAGCATTGTATAAATATTCAACAGTCGTGAACTCCTAAAAAAGAGTCAGATATTAACAGAGGAATTAATTGTATATAAAGAAACACAGTTAAGAAACAATTTTTGCTGAAAAGGATCAAACACTTCCAAGTATTTTTGTGTTTGCTGTTTATACAATCATCACCTTTGCAATTTGATGATATCGCTTGATTAGAACTGCAATATCAATCGCCATTTTTTTAATTAAAAAATCTACCTACATCACATATACTAAACAATACGAACACTTGTTCCCTTCCTCACAAAAGTCATCAAGTGAAAATGCTAGGTCTAAGCATTTTTCGTTGGTAGCAATAGCTGGATTATAGAACACATACGTTGACATAAATTCGTCTATAAATTTTTTGTTTTTTGTCTTTTTCTTTTTTTAAACATATCAAACAGTATACTGTGCATTCACGTCCATAATACTGTGAATGAGATTTTTTTTTTTTTTTTTTTTTCACCTTAATCCTACGCAGAATATTAGGATATTACTGCCGTGGTACTATGCACTCCATTGTTAAGTGTACAAGTTTAGTACAAACGTTAGAAAAAACTATTGTTATTATTATTATTATTTTTTTCTCATCGCTTAAAACTGAAATCTTAGTAGTAAATCTATACTCTGGAATGCTGTATTAATAATACTTCTAATTTGACATCGATGTATATCAAAAGTCGTTCCACTTGGATACGCTCGTACAATCGGCAAGAACTTCATTAGATTATTGTGCAAAATTCAGTTCAACGTTTTCGTAGTAATCAAAAAAAGGAAGATACAATAGAAATTTAAAAACGTTCAAACGTTATGTGTATAAATTGAATTCGTTTAAAATTACCTAAAGAATACATCATTATTTTTACATGTTATATGTGAATTTTACAATCAATTAATTCCTTAGGGTCCGCAAATTAAAGTGTACATCACTTTTTGTAAAATTGTTCTTAAGCAAACGATAACTATGCTCGTTTTCTGAAACATTCTTGCTGCATTAGATATTCGAAAATCGTATCTACCGAATACTTTCATCGTTACATCAAAACTACCTGAATTGTAACAAAATAAAAGATGTTAATTATAGTTATTGTAATTACGTATTTTCGTATATGAAATAAGAAATTTCGTAAGAAAGTTGAGAATGTTTCATGAAATACTTGAACTATTATTTAGTAATTTATCTTACAAGTCTTACAAGTATAAAATTGCACCATTTTACTATCAAATCTGCGAAGAATTGACTAAATATGAGAAAACTATGAAAGAAATTCAACCCCGTTCAATTCAGTTAATTCCAACACGATTTAAGTTAAAGACTAGTCAAACTTAAATTCTCTCTAAAGATTCAATCGCTTCGCCGTTTGAAGATATTTTACATTTCTTCTGCGATTGATTGTACATCGTTTGCAGAGGTACATGAAGCAATTCCACGATTTCTATAAAATTAGGCTCTGTAATGGATAGAATAAGAAATTTATGATAGATCTGAACGATAGTTTACTATTTAGTCATCATATATTTACTTACCATTTTCGGCTGTGATATATCCGTGTCTAATTAAAAAGTCAAGAGCAACTGGTACAGATGTTGTTTTAAAATGTGAAGATAATATCCTTTCTAAGCATTCGTTAACTGGAAGCAATTCAAAAGTCTCTACTTCTCCGTCATTGTTACTCGGTACAAAATCTGGCGGTAGTTCAAGGTCGTATACAAATTCAGTATTGGGAAATAAGCCCCGTTCACTTTCAAAGAAGAGTGATACACAACCAGCACTTTTTAGTTTAGCAATTAGATTATTTGGAATACTGGCTTCTTCTCCAGCCTCTTTTATAGCAGTTTCATTAATTCCATAACCGACACTTAACCCACCGCTCACCATATTATCCCAGTATCCGGGCCAAGTTTGCTTATTTGGACTACGTTTTTGTAACCATATTGATAATCCTTTGACAGGATCCATAACATATCCATTAATATCTACACCATATTTTCGAATTCCAAATAAGCCTACACAGTCATTAACGATTAGAAATAATTTTTTTTTTCTAATAGAGGAACATATAAATAGCATACATACATGTGGCTGATCGATCCATTTTAAATAATGGTGGAGTGTTGAACTGTGCACGTACTTCGTAACATTCTTCCCTCCATCCCCTTAATGTTACAAATTTCTCACCTGCGCGCCATTCTCTTAATACTTCCTCAACCCGAGCACTTCTCTCTGAATAATCTCGAAATGCAGGATTTAGTTGCACATATTCAGGGTGTACTTGAAATACCTATAAAAAGATAGTTAGAGCTTCTATAGAGTTATTCCTTCTTATTTGTGAAGTTATAAAAACTAGCATGCAATTACCTGAGGATGATTTAACAATTCTTTCATAACATCTGGACGTACAAGACCAACTTGTTGTCCATCAACAACAAAAGCCCTGCATTCACCTGCATGGAAACCTAAAGAATTGTACACATATATAGATGATAATCTTCCTGAATAACTCTAATGATAAATCATAAAATATATACTTTATTCATACATTATAACATAATACAAAATATAGAACATAAAAACATATGGGAAAGGAATAAAAAACTAGGCAAGACATAAATATATGTAGTAATACAGAAATATAGTTCAATATTATTCAGTACTAAAGGATTAGAAATAATGTGTAAGGCCTTAAAATTATCATAAACTTTATTTTTTATATTCATTTCTATCAAAAATAGAAACAATTATACAATTATGTGATATACATTCTACTTCAGTAAATATACATATACCATTAATTTACTCAAAATATTTAATATAAAAAGAAAAGACTACATCAGATAGGGAATTAAAGGATCTCCAACAGAAGTATTGCAAAACTCATTCATGTTTCTATAAAAAACAAAGTATTCCTTGTTATTCAGTGCAAAAATATGAGAAAGAATACACAACAGACTCCAAATCAATATCTCAGTAGACAGGACAGAAAGCCACGCTTTTCTATGCACTATTCAATGAAAAATCAGGCAGTCGAGGTGTATGAGAGAACGGTACACGATTCGTCCAGCGATTTTACTTACCCGACAGGTAGAAGCAATTAAATTTATTAGCGAGCTTCAGTAAGCGTGACATCGGTTTCTTATCACTATCCGTCATGATGTTTCGCTGTCGTTAACCAGCTGTGACAAAAAATGTTAGCATAGAGTACATAGAGAACTATGTCAGGCAGGAGCTTCACGAAATTTCTCCGCGCTGAGACACAGTTATAGAATGAAAATGCTGTTGGATTGGTCCGAAACTTGTTTACCTTCTTCCCATTTTCTTTTTGTCGTAGATCCAGAGATAAGATACTTGAATTTATTATTTGTACAGCTGATAAAATGCGATAGTTTTATTCTATCAGTAGTGCTTCTTAAGAAATGCTGGAAACTGATGATAATTTATTATGACATTTATTCTTACAGTTAAATATATAAATATCAAAACTTGAGAATTCCATATGCAAAGGAATTTCATGTTAATTATTTATGATAATTTGAATAATGCAATTCATTATATTTCATATCAAAATGATAAAGTAAAACAACAGGGGGATAGATGATGGCTTTATGTACATACATAATTGCAATTATTTAAAGAAGCAGAATGCTTTTCACATTTTATTTTAAGTATTTTTAGAAAGGAATTTTCAGAGAATTCCTTACATATCATTTAAGCACTCTGTTAAAACATGTTCAGAACACCCAGTAGATGGTATTGAGGTGCTGGCTGTTTACTGTATGAATATATTTTGTAAGTTTAATTATTAACAATGAAGGTAAAAAACGCGAGCAACAATGTTGAAGAAGCGTCAGAATCATCTGAATCTGATTCGGAGTACAACAGTTCAGATGAAGAAGTAAATATTCCATGAATTTTAAAATACTTATAAGTAATCTTTTCCTAACCTATTCTTTTTCACGTGTATAGTTACGAGAAGCTTATGCAAAGGGTTTATTAAAACCTGGTCTGAATGTAGTGGTCGAGCAAACCAAAAAACAGCACAAAAATTGTGTGGTAAGTATGATAATTTCATGATTAATTTTATAGGTATCATAAATGTTTATTCCTTAAGAAAAAATGAAGAGAAGATGATTGAAATTTTAGAATCTTATGAAAGAAAAGTTAGAAGCTATTAAGTTAAAGTTGCCATGGGTCGAGAGATTAGATTTGACAAATGCACCAGCACCTCTGGCGCCAGAATTGGCACTGCAAATGCAGGAACAGGAAGTGAGACGCGCGAAGCAATTAAAAGGAAATAAGAAAATACCTCAGTATGATCCAGCAGAGGATCCTGTTCTGAATGATTTTCGCAGAGAGACAATGTTTCATAGACAAGCACAGGGTGCAGTCATGGATGGTATCGCACGATTGAAGAAGCTTGGAATTCCAACAACCAGACCTGAAGACTATTTCGCTGAAATGGCCAAATCAGATACTCACATGCAGAAGGTTAGGCAAAATCTAATGAAGAAACAAACGATAACACAGAGATCAGAGAAGATAAGGCAGTTGAGACAACAAAGGAAAGTGGGGAAGCAGATGCAGATAGAAGCAACTCTGAAGAAGCATGCAGAGAAGAGAAAATTAATGGAAGAAGTTAAAAAGTATCGCAAGGGTATGAGACAGGATCTTGATTTCCTGGATGAAAAGAAGAAACCGCAAAAGAAACCAATTAATCCAAGGATAGCGGCAAAGAGGAAGATGAAAGACGTCAAATTCGGTTTCGGCGGTAAGAAACGTGGCAGCAAGAAAAATACAAGAAACAGCTCCGCCGATGTCTCGGAATATAAGAGGCCTGCGAAGCATGGAAAAGATTTGAAGAAAAAGGGCGGTGGAAAAGTCAAGCAGAGATTAGGGAAGGGCCGTAGGGTACAGATGAAAGCAAAGAGGAAATGACAGGAGACATTGTTTATAGCTTACTCTATCTAAACCTATCAATTCGTTTTGTACGACTCAAGGACTGGAGCACCTGTGCATTTGTAAAATAAATCGTTTAAAATAATAAAGAACCGATATTTTCTTCGTTACTGTTTCTCACTATTTTTTCTCAATCGCAATGTCCTGCAATTCTGTTTTCTGTATTCAACGAACAATTGCGAACAGTCTCAACAAAAGAATTTTGCCGTACATGTAACTACGTTCAAACCCATTGAGACGTGTACTCGCATCAAAGATTACGTAAAGGCAAAGGCATACAGGGAGCTAGGAAATATTTTTCCATTTCAGAGACCTTTTTCAACTTAGCTAACACTGTTTCGTGTTCAATCAGACGCGAATTGCATCGATACGGCGATGCAGCACATTTCTACCGCACGCTTGGAAAAATATACGGTGGCCCAACTGAAACGACACCGACCATTGTGCTTCTTATCACTCACACCTCTCGCGAAGTCTTAAAAGAAAATTCTTTTATGCTGCGTCTGATAGTATTCGTGGAACATTATCTTCTAGATATCCCTTTTTTATCGTCGTAATTCTGTTATCTTTTCCCTTATAAAGAGCTGAAAAATTAATTGTAACATCTTTTAAATTAATAATTTTGGTATTCAAAGTGTTACGTTGAAATTTGTGAATCTAGTAATTTCTGATCGGTGGGTCACCCGGTATATGAATTTCCAAGCAGCAAAACAAATTTGTAATCTGCTTGCAAAGACACGTTCAGAAATCTTAGAGCCCGTATAGGGGAAAGGAAGATGAGGTGGAATCATCATTAACCATACACCCTTGGGAATCAAGCAGCAATCGCTGAAGGAAAGGGGTCGTGTACGCTGTACACATATATTTCCCCGCAAATGCAAACGTGGACGTGCATGTAATATGCGGTGTAATCGCATTTCCATGCATGTAACAAGCCCTGTAGATACAGCGGATTGTCTAATGGATGACACATGTTTAGTATTCCTACAGTACCCCCATGCCAGTAGGGAGAGCATCATTCTGATCCGCGTGTCCATAGCGCATAATCGTTTGTTTTTTTATCCCGTACGATTTTTAATAATTTAATGGCGCATTAACGCGACGAACGTCGAACAGCTAATATTGGAAATTCACTTTGTGGATTAAGCGATCCATCATACGATAATTTCTACCATATTGCTTCTTTATTTCTCCCGGATTATCTTTCACCGGCATTATGCGTAGGCGTATTTTCATTTGAATGATTGAAAAGTCAAATAAAGACACTTTACATTGAATTTCATTTGAAATTCAGTCAACTGCCACGATTTTCGACAGACGACATTTTCTGCCACGAAAGTAAAAGTCAGGACACAAAATTCAGTGTCATGGCAATCGGAATTTCCACGACATTTCGTGGCATAAAAGTAAAAGTCACAATTTACCGTCACGGGAAAACATACCCTTACCGTCACGTGAAGAACGTATCCTGAAGGAGGCCAAAAATTGCCATGAAAGCGATGCAATCGATTTTGCTGGCTCAGCATATCGGTGCACCTGTACACGCGTGATCAACGATACGATGGATCCTCGAAGAGAGCTGTGATGGTCAGCAGAATATGGGATAACACGCGTGATTGGGTTTCGAGTGTATACTTGTTATTTGGTGAGTGGAAACACCGCCGATCGAGCCGCATGCATAAAGCCCTGGCCATTCGTGTTCACCCGCGCGCACACGCGACCGTGTATACATATATTTTATTTTTTTTTTTACAATAGCCTCGGGTTATTGTATTTAAATCCACGAGCACTCTCGCACTGTCCGGCACAGACACGAGAGAGCCCTGGGAATCTGCCCTTCAGGTAACAGCTGTTTCAGAGGGAACAGCTTTCCACATTTTTAGTCCCGCTACAATTTTGCCAATTACACAAGTGTCAGGGGTTCGTGCTAGACCTTCGATTCCGTAGACATCGGTTCCGTTTCTTTATATGGTTCAGTGTGTTAATTAGAACACATTGACAGTGATAATTAGAACCGAAGACTATAAACAATATACCTTAGGCCAATTTGCAACATAGTGTCTCCTATTTTTGAATTATTATAAGAAAAAGTAGCTGAAATTTAAGAATATTCTAACCTTAACAGCATACCACCTAACCCTACCTGGGACGCCACCTAACCTCAACAATATAGTCAACCAACCAATTAAGACATCCCTATCATTGATGATCAATGATCCGTGACACGAGCACAGTTTGCTCGAATAGTCAGCAACTAATAGGTAAATGGAAATACCTGGGTGTTGCTTGACCTCTGGTGAAGCTAAAATTCTGACGAAATGTCGGGATATATATCCACTCGGACATGATCCACATTGGAAAGTGTCGGCTAATAATTATTCATTTACTTTTAAATGAGTCCGTCTGGACAAACGGTGATACAATATTTTTATCTTGGCACAGTTTAATCGTTTAAATATGAAATACGAAATGACTGGTCTTTGTTGGAAGAAATAATGGATCAACCAATTTACAGTTTAATATTATCCATTAGCGAGTATGAACATTTAATGAACTTTATGATCTCCGGTTATTTGATTATACAATTTCCATGAAACTTTAAGCGTCGAACTGATGTACCAACGTTTAAATATGAATTGCAACGTCGTTCGTATACTTTCGTGAATTCTTCAACGAGGCACAGATTTTTAGATAGAGGACTGGAGTCGGATTGTAATCTCAGTGTATTCCAACAAATTGTCCAGTTTTTAGACAACCAATTTACAGCGTTAACACGACCCGGGCCAAATAGCCGTGGTATTTATATTGTAGTTCGAACACGTGCTGTACAATTCTACGCGAACGAGCTTTTTTTTTCATCACGCGTGTGAATTCACCGGTCGGCCGGAATATGGACAGGTATCTCTCGCAGATATTTGTATCGATGACAACCACCGTGTGACACGTATCCTATGTCGGCAGCTAATGGGTGAAATTTGTTTCGCTATTGCCATCGGGCGATTTTGTACGATTTCGAATCTCACGAAATTTCGTACGCGAATCCCCGTATCGGTTGGAAGCTGACACGACGAGGATGATATATCCATCTCAATTATTTGGGCTGAACGAGATACCGAGCACTCTTGCTTCGTTTTGTGGGACTTAGGTTAGGTTTAGGTTTGGTTAGGTTGAGTCTTAATGGAAAAACATGGCGGGCAAATTAATTCAATGTAATATCTCTTTTTTATAAGTATCAAATCCTTATATAATCCTCAGTTCCAATTTTTCGCTTCGAATTAATTGAAAAGAAACAGCTGTACTTTCCCTGGATCCATTCGCGTGACTAGGCAGGGGTTGGAATGGGTCCGCTCGTCCATTCCAGAATGTAGATTGGCACCCCATCCCTACAACACTAGAAAATATTTGTCAGTTTGTAAAATCTGACCTTGTGACAAATAAACGCTATAGGCCCTATAGATAAAAATCCTAGTTACGCAAATGCCTGTACCCTTCGATACACGAATCCCCGAACGACTTTTCCAGGAAGCATAAAATCGTAGGTTTCAGCGGCACGTTGTTGGCACGTGGCTGGTACTAGACTGAAGCGAATAATACAGTCGTTCGTAGACGAGATAGTTAGCCATTGGTTACTTCTGCGTTCACCCTCGCAGCCAGTGTGTTCCATAAAGCTCACGGTAAATCGACTGTGAGCCGTGCAGCAACCTCTCGTGTTGTTGCACGTACGTGGAACGCAGCCTGTTGGGGATGGGGATGAATGGGGTTTTGGGGAGTGGCGGAGAGGTCGGTCCGAGAGGATGGGAAACCATTATTGAAATGCAGTAAATGGCCGTGAGTTTCAATTGCCCCTGGGTGCTTCCAGCATGCCGTAGGAAAGAGAACCACCCCTCCTGACCCCCGCATGAAACCAGCCTTCTACTAGATGGAAGGGAATTACGAGAATTCGCAATGATTCGCTCTCTGTCGGCGCAGGAAAACACGCGGCAGCATCGACTGATCGGCCTACGAGCCGTTCGCCTTCGATGGATCGGCTATTAGGGGGTGGGAGACCTATTGCTTTTGCTGAGACTTCCTGTCTGCCCGGATGCTGCCGGTGATTCTATTTCGGTTGGTCTAGCTCTTTGTACTTGTATCCCCGTGTGTTTTATGATTGCTATGTCTTTGTTACCATGCGAGTGTGAGTTATGAAGATGGTATGCTGATCGATAGACTACGGATGTTTATGTGACTATAGATTTATCGTATACAGGCTGACTTACCACTTTAGGTGACTCACATAACTGGAGGGGAAATATGATCTGTTCAGTTAGGTTCGTTTTAGAATATGGCGACTGTTCATCATGATAGACCTAACCTAAATTTAATCTCTGTAATAGCAACGATGATCAGGTGTGAATGATTAGCGTGACAACGAGATGGCGCTGATTGAGAGGAAAAAACAGATGATCCTCATCGATAGGCAGTCACGTTCGTGGGTCGGAACAAGGGCTA